CTCTGCAGGCAAAATCCCTGACTCACTCATATAACCAAAGACTACTGAATTTCCCTGAATCTAGCTGAAGGAAAATTGACCCTAGGCCTTTGTCATGCAGAGAAATTACTAAAGGACTTCCCTGAACTTTGGGGAAGATGGACACTAATCTCTAACACTATTGGTATTAATCTTGATCAAGAACCACTCAAGATAGCCTGCCTGAGCTTAATCGGAAACAGGTCATTAATGTGGGTAGTCTGATCTGCAGAGGATGGTTTAGAGCTAAACCTGTGTTTGGACTGAATTGTCTGTCATACCCACTTTAACACCTCAGAGGTGATGTGACATTTGCAACTCTTCTTGAAGGTTCTGGTGGGGTGGTGGGTGTGCAGACCTGTCCTGGCTGGCCCACTCAAACTTGAATATTCTTCTGCCTTATTTGGGGAGATCGTTGAAGTGACTAAACCTATGATTTTTTTTTTCCTTAATCTGTTCCTCTGATCTAACCAGTCAGACTGTAACCAGGGAAATATTTCTTTGCCTTCTAAGGAAAAAAATTCACCCTTGCTAAGGACGCCTGCGTAAGTCAATGACTTAAGAAAGGTAATTGAGGTACCAGCAGCAATCACCGTTATTTTGCGAAATGCACCGTGAGCTGTAAACCCTTCCTTCCAAACAGAGCTGAATGGTGCTGCCCCTTGACAAGTGGTGTCCCAGGTAGTTCACTTACACACACAGATGCTGCCCTGGCAGCACAGGCTTCACTTCAGCAAATAAGGCACCTTTGCCCATTATGAAGCCTTTGATCAACTTGGACACTGTATTAAGGCAGCAATCCTTTGTGTCTGCAGGGAGCTATCACCATGCCCAGTTCTTTGCATGAGACACTGCATTATAGACATTCATTGCCTAAGAAGTCAGAGCAGGGAACCATATATGGGTTCATAGATTTCATAGATTTTCTAGGTTGGAAAAGACCTTAGAGATCATCCAGTCCAACTGTCCCTAATCTCTCATTAAACCATATCCCTAAGTAGTTCATCCACCCTTTTCTTAAAGACATCCAGGGATGGGAACTCAACCACCTCGCTGGGCAGCCTAATCCAGTGGCTGACAACCCTTTCAGAGAAGAGGTTAAACTAAGGTATCCTGGATTCTGGAGTATTGCCCAATCTTTCTCCTTTTCCACAAGGAAAAGGGTTCATAAAAGGAAAATGACTGTTAAAAGCTTGATGAAATGTGTTTTAAGAGTTCCTTTCCTTTCCACATCACTGGAAAGTGCAGATAATGACTTCACAGAATATGATGTGTGAAAATGAAACTCCTGCCCAATCTTTCTCCTTTTCCACAAGGAAAATAAATGTACCTTCTCTCTGTGACTAAACAAAAATCTAGAGGAGGCTACACGATCACTGAAGTTGCAGCTGCTGAGGTCTTCCTTGTAAGTTAATCCTTGAACCAGGAGAGATGTTTCACAGCAGTTATTACTGAACATAGAACAATGATTTCATGTTGAATATAAGAATTTCATGTATCTCTTATATTTGGAGGCTGATACAGTGATGCACATAAGCTGAAACCAGCTTTGTTGGCCAAGGTGGAAAGTTCTGCTGAATAGTTGTGCAGCTGTATGATCAACTAGCTACCTGTGATAACTCCTCAGCGCAACTAAAAGCCACAACAAAAGTTGAGTTTTTCTCAACTTGGCATCATAAGGGTCAATTTTAAGTCTTTGTAAACACTGAAAACATACTATAAAATAGCTTATTTTATAAGTACTTATAATATAGAGGAAGAAAATCTTCAGCTGTTTTTTCCATGACCACAGTAAAACAAGCAGGTGTGGAAGAACAAGCCTTCAGACACAGAGGAGATGGCTCCTTTTTCAACTGTCTTGTCTCATAGCTGTTTATGCTATTGTTAGTCTTGCTAACATCACCTCCTGGCTGCAGATACTGAGGCACCACAGCTGGTTGCCCTTTGTCTGATCCTTCAGCTTTGAGTGAGGTCCATGCTCTTCTGAGACAATATGTCTACTTGAATTTAAATACTACCTTTTTTTAAACTTAAAAACAACAGCAAAATTCCATGTGCAACACAAAAATGACTTGCACAGCTGACAGTGTGGCCCAATTCATTACTGTATTCTCTTGCCTATTCCAAGTTATTCTAAAGTATCCTTAACAAACCTAGAACAGAAACGGAGCTTGAATTCTGTCACAAATACACTTTGCCTCCTCTACCTATCACGACTGTCCCTCATTGCAGGGATACGTCCAAAACTAGAAGCCAATTAAGGATTGTATTGCTCTTACTGGAGCTGTTGGCACGAGTGCTGGACTTGACACAGGTAAAAATTCTGATCTGCTTCCAAATAGAAAGTTACAGTTTTCAGCAAGTGTACCCAGGGCCAGTGAGGAAACAAAGTTTGGTGTTGGAATCTAGCCAGGTAGTTCCATCAGTTAGATTAGACTGAAAAGTAGTGTGGAGAGAAATATATCTAAGTCCATGAAAGGACATAGGCCTGAGGTCTACTTGCTTGCAACAAGGATGAATCCTAATAACTCCCAATTTATGCAATGACAAGCACTTGTCATGTCCTGGATGGCGAAGAGCAGCAATACAGACTGCAGTTATGAGCTACTCCAGTATTCCAAGCATTGGTGTTGACAAAGGTGATGCCTTTGGTCCATAGTGATTTCTACTCTGTTACTGTGCGAATGAGAAGAAATAACTTTTAAGCAGTTTTAGGCACCAAAGATAAATATTTCTTTCTGCTCAGCCACCTGGGATCTTACTTGCTATGTACTTTTGAGAATATGCCAATTAGAGTGGTCAAAACACGCAGACTCTACTATTGCCTTTATTTCTGTAGGCATTATTTATAACACACCACACATTCAAAGAACGAGTTTGTAAGAGATGTTATCATTATTTATCTTCTGTTGAGCCTTACTGAACACTACAGCTATGTTGACTTCCACAGTTTCAAAGTCCTTATCTTGAGCTGAATCCTGGAAGCCCTTCCCACCTTTTAAAGACTTACACATTGATCTTGCTGGCTTTTGCTTCCACAACAGTGTGCATTCATAATGCCCATATATGGGAAATTTTATATTTCATTTAAAGTTGCTGTAGCTGATTGACATATCTGAGTACAAACCCAAGAACTATATGAAAGAAGACTCGTTCTCCCTATTTCTTCTTAGCTTTTCCTCCTTCTAAGAGAAGGATATACATTACAAACCTGCTTATATCTCATTATCCTCAAAAAGGTTTTCCAGTAGTGACCTCGTGGTTTGACAGAACTAACTTTGTAACAATGAACAGGACACAAATAAGATGGTGTAACATCTTCCCAGTTGAGGTGAAAGTGAATATAACTGTTCTCAATGCAAGAAGAACGTGCTTAGGCCTCCTGACACCACAGCTGCTTTATGCAGATTGCAACTGGCTTTGGCCAGGACAAATACTGAATGGAGTTAACACTCCTAGCTGCAAACAGAAAACTGAATTAGTTTGTCTGCTAATGAATATCAGCTTTCTTGTGAGTTTTAAAGATCAGAACTTATTGTAGCTTGTCTTTAATCCACATCATAATCATTGTTTAAATCTTGCTTTGCTTCTACACTGAAACTGCTTGTAAATGTTTAATTAAAATGTGTTCATTTTCATACCATCAACTTGATTTTGAATCTGAGCACAATAGTGTGGAGAGTAATAAGAAATCCAGGCCAAGCCTTAAAAGCATTCTAAATCACTGAAGTCACTATTTAGTCTAACTCTCCTTTTTCAAAGCAGGAGTGCCAGTTGGCATCTTCTGTATTACGTGTTGTCTTCATACCTTTTTATTGCTCAGTTACTAGTAACTAAATAATCACAGAACTGCTCCACAGCACAACGTATGGATAGTGCCCTAACCCTAAAACATGTTCATTCAAGTAACTAATCATGGGGAAAAAAAATAAATTATTTAAAGTTGTAAATCTTGAGACTTTTGTCTTACAGTGAAACACAAAAGAAGAGGCCAGCACCAAGCAGCACAGTAATGTTTTCTAGGGGGGAAAAAGTAAGCAACACTGCAGGAAAAGCAGTCTTAAATTCAGGTCTTTGTACTGGTGACTTCTCAACTGTAACTCTTGAAGTTCCTGCAGAGCTGCTCTTCTCTGGCCCCTACCTGTGGAACTTCTTGCCCAGGTATGGTACCTCCAATTGTTCTTTGAGGAACAAAAAACAAAGGTAAACAAGGACGTTTAATTTAGCCTTCTGCACCCAAGTTCCTCTTTAAAAAAAAAACAACAAGCAACTTGAAGAGATCCACCTAGTCAAGGCAGAACACTTTTAAAGTTCAAGGCAGCTCCACTCTCACCAGCTAAACTCCCACTTCTTGATTAAACTCAACTTGGATTAAGAAGCAATGCAGCTGAGTAAGAAGTCCTGCCCACCTGTTTCTTTGATATTGACACTACTGTTTGCACACATTCATGGTGAACCAGAACAAGGAGCCAATTTCTTGAAATATATGGTCATAACCAAGGAAAATAACTATATGTCCAATTTTATAACAGTCAAATTATAATTAAATAAAAATTTCTCTATCATCTGTAACTGACTTCAACTGCGTCTCTCTCAATGCTGTTCTTACCACTTTAAAAAAGCACACCAAAAAACCAAGCAAGTGTACTTTATCATTTAATAGAAAAATTGTATTACTAACAGCACACTGGTTTCTAAAGCACTTGTCAAGGTCTGTTCTAAGAATTAATTTTGCAATTAAAGAATATAAACCTAATTCGTAATTTAAAAAAACGCATTTATACCTGTTACTTCAAGTTGTACACATCAAGGGAAGCAGCACCATAGCTTAATGAGGAACAAATCCCATCCACAATTTAAACAGCTAGGAATAAGTTATTTCATACCAAATAAAAAATAATATTCTTATCAGTACCATACTTACTAATATATTTCAGAAAAACCTAAGTAATTCAAGTGCACCTCATTTTGTTTCCTCATACTCATTGTTTCATCATGCTATCTTGCAGAGTTCTTTGTAATCTAGCTATGTTGGCATCCAAGGCTGCTAAGCTATTCTTAAAGTCCTCTTCATCTCGAGAAGTAAATGTTGAGAAAGAGGATGCACTCCACTCAGACTTCCCTGACATATCATCAAATGAAATGGAACTAAAAGCAGCTATTTCACTGCCTTTTTTCCAAGAAATCTCTTTTGGAAATAGCATCGGTATGTGAGGGTATGTACCAGGCTGAGATTGGTCTGGTTTATCTGGGAAGTCTTTTGGAGCTGCACTTGGAGTGCCTTTAAGCCTCATTTGGACTTTGTTTCCTTCTGTCTTCACTTTATCCCCTGTAACTTCCAGCATTTTTTCCACAGTCTTTTTCACACTGCTCCCAGTACTTAATTTATCCAGAAGAGTCGGATCCTTCGATATCTCACATCCATTCTGCTGCACAGAGTTAGAGTGTTCACAGTCATAGTCCAACATCTTACAAGCCCCTCTACTTTGGGGTAGTAGACAAGTTCTTTCAGAGATTGGCAACTGTTTTTTAGAGGCACTGCTAGTCAATGGAATATAAACAGTGTCATCCAACCTGGTTTGGTCATCTAGTAAAGTCCCAGAATCACTAACCGTTTCTGCATCTTGCTTCAGTGAGGTAGGCAATATTCTGGGAGTTGATGGTCCTCCTTCCAAGAACGCACTCTTTATTTTACTTCCTTCAGCAGCCGACTTTTCATAGGATAGATTTCGTATTTCTGATTCTCCGCTTTTATTTGAGAACTGAAGTTGTGTATCTGTCAAAATATGATCCGTTTCTAATTTTTTTAAATAAGTCACTACTGAAGTACTCCCAGGAAATGGATCAGGTTGCATCTGCTTTTCATGGTCTTCCAAAAGAGACTTTGAGAGACCTTTTTCAGGTCTGGGTCTGATGTTGTCTACTGTGAGGTCAGAGAGAAGCTTGGCCATACTGCCCTGCAAGGTTCTGTTAAGATAAGATGAATTAATCTTATTAACTATTTTTTTAGCAACTATTAAAAACCCACCTTTTATATAAAACCAAAAAATTAGATTTATCAGACGGCAGCAAAGTTACAATTGTCTTTCTACACATCATAAAAGGTAGTATAAATATGAGCCTATTCCAAGTTTATTGAATTTCGTCCTTCAGCTCAGAGAAATGTGTCTATAAAAAAAACCTACAAACCCCCCCCGATTTACCTGCTTTGAGTACTACAAAATAAAATAAATTGATGTCAAGAAACTGCTACAAAGCATATAGACACAGCTATCAAAATCAGTGAGAATTTTTTTCTGAGTGATTCTTCCCATTACATCTAATAAAACATATAATGAAAGGAATATTTCTTCTTATTTTTCTGCTTGCTACATCAAAAGAAATGAAAGCTTAAATGCCTATGTGTATAGCATATACTTATATACATGTAATGAAACATCATTATACCACCATCTGGTGGTCAGTATAATAGTCATAAAGCGTGTAACATGTCAAAGCTTCTACTAAAGAATCTTAAGTGTTGATTAAAAATACTCTGCCGTTCCAATCAGTATCAAATATAAACAAGACAGACAACAGTTTAATTTCCTGTGCACATCATGTCCACACAAATTTTATGTACATACCACTTTGCACGTGCCAAAAGCTATTTAAGTCTCCCAGCTTGCCACTACATTCAATATACAACACTAAGATGAAATAAATTCCACCTTCATTCAGTGATCCAAGAACTCCAACATCATTAACATCTGGGCATAATCTACTTCAAACGTGTGTACAATTAAAGAAAGGACTGCTCATTACCACAGCAAGAGCTTGCTGTGGGTCCTGAAGACAGATTTTTCTGCGAGTTCTTCTCCAAACAGACCAATTTCTGAACCACGGTGAAGAAAAAAAGAAAAATAATCCCCTCCTTAATTCAGGTTTGGTGGGTTGGCGCTGACTGGATGCCAGGTGCCCATCAAAGCCACTCTATCACTCCCTCTTCTCAATGGGACAGGGGAGAGAAAATCTAACAAAAAGCTCGTTTTTGAGCTTTATCCAGAGGGAAACTATTAACAAAAAGATCAGAGTGGGATGAGAAATAAAACCAAATCTTAAAACACCTTCCCTCCATCCTTCCCTTCTTCCCAGGCTGAACTTCACTCCTGAATTCTCTTCCTCCTCCTCCCTGCGAGCGGCACAAGGGGATGGGGAACTGGGGTTGATGGCAGTTTGTCACATTGTTTCTGCTGCTCCTTCCTCCTCAGGGGGAGGACTCCTCACACTCTTCCCCTGCTCCAGCGTGAGGTCCCTCACACAGGAGACAGTTCTCCATGAATTTCTCCAACATGAGGTTTTTTCCCCCTTCTTAAATAATGGTGCTACCACTGTCTGACTGGTTCAGCCTCGGCCAGTGGTGGGATCATCTTGGAGCCGGCTGGGATTGACTCTGTCGGACATGGGGGAAGCTTTCTTTTTTTTTTTTTTCTTCTCACAGAAGCCACCCCTGTAGCTCCCCTGCTACTCCACTACCAAAAATCTGCCCTGCAAACCCAATACATTGGGTTAAGATTTAGTTTCCAAATTGCACAACTTCAAGGGAATACCAGCAGGTTTTCGGGTCCACGCGCTTCTCACGGAGATCCTTACCGGCAGGTCTGCTATTAAGCGTTAAACCTTCGCACAAATTGCAGCAGACAGCGTTTTACTTTGCAGCGGAACTCAAGTCATGGAGGACGACAATTCTGTTTTAACAAAATTATAGCACCGTTCTAGCAAAACTAACTACAAAGAGTTTTAGCCTACATGATCTCCTACCACTAAGATACTAAGATTACAATAATCCAAAGTCTGAACAAACAAAACAAAACAAACAAAAAAGCAAAGCAATGTCAAGAGGCAAAAAAATAGCTTAGCCAACGGTACCTGGTTAATTCACGCAGTCTGTTAACTTCTGCATCACGCTGACGTAACGTTATGCCCAAAATCTTATTTTCTTTCTCTGAAGCTTCCAGCTTAAACTGAAGGCTCTTCACATTTGCTAATGCCTCTTCCGCTTCTAAAACACCAAGAAGAATACCTAATTATTTCTTTGAAGTTTTAAAAAAACATTAAATGAAGACCAAATTCAAAACACGTACCAATCTTGAGCTTGGTGGAATGAATGTCATAATGCTGTTTGTTTTCTAGCAATTCTTCTTCTTTATCTTGAACATCTTTTGCAAGATGTTTATTCTCTTCTTTCTGACTTTCTATTATTTTAAGTAGTTCTTCGTTTTTAGCCTGCAGTGACTCAAGACCTTTCAGTGATTCTTGCAATTGACTCTGGAGCATCATATTCAAGGACTGCAAAGAAACTACTACCAAAAGTAAAACATAAAAAGTTTAAGTGTTTTTTTTTTTGTTGTACAGTTTGATTTCTAAATCAAATCAAGTTTTAAAATAATCTTGGTAATATGAATTTTGCTTACAGATAGAAGGGCGTCTTGAGGCAGCAAGATAAAACTCAAGCTGCCTTCTTAATTATCTAAATATGTCATCGTCATTTTAACATACACAGAAGGAAAAATAATCTACTGGACAGCTGAAGAGCTGAGTCTCACTATGTGGAGTCTGAACAGGCACAACAATCCATGCAAATGCAGTTGCAGGATTAGACCCATAACGCTTAGTTGTTGGCACTAAAGGCCATAATACGTACTGTTATTTTTTATTTATGTATCTATATACGTCTGTATCTATTTAAATAAAGCTTTAACAAAACTGCCCCAACAAGCATCATTCTCTACTAGTACTTTACATTCATAGTTGCAGCTTTGTCCAGATGTCTTCTCACTTATTTCTCGTTCCCCAAGTTGCTGATTTAATATTCTTAGTCTCCTAAATGTGAATTGTGAAAAAGCACAAATTCAGTAAGTTCAGAATAAGTTCAAACACCGCATTTTAAATTAGTTTCGTAAGAAGCTGCTACTGAGAATTAAATGTCACAGAAAGTTTCAGAAATATAAAAAAGTTTTAGTAATGCATTTTTCTTACATTCCTATCTTTCTTCAACACAAAAGACCCTTTGCCAGTTCCGGTAAATATTTTTCCCTCTATTCTAAAGTAAAATGATACCCAGTTATGTATTTGGGAGCTCCTCTGAAACGAGAGCCATTTTTTGCATTTGAGAATACATTACAAAAAGAATATAAGCAGGCTAACAATGTTGATACTTTAGTTTTCAGAGAGAATGATACATTGATCCCTCCTAGACAACAACCCAACCATGATGTAACTGCTGCTACTAAAATATCAGTATTAACTGAAGTTTTGCTATGCATTAATTATTTATTTTTAAACTATACAGCCTTACCAACACACTTTCTAATGTATAAATACTGCACAGATAACAATGAAAGGGTCGTAACACACCATAACAATGATAAAATACGCCATTTAGGACAGACCAGTCAAAGACGCTTTAGGCACATTTGCAGTAAATACAGCATCACTGATGTGTCACATACCTACGCAGCTGGGCATTTTCACTTCTGAGAGGCTGTAAAGCCAGCGCTATTTCAGCTTGTATGTTCATACTTCCCACTACAGCTGGGAGCAACGATACGCAGTCTTCTATTTCATTCATCAACCTTAACATTTCTGAATCATCTGCAAGAGGTGAGGGGAAAAAAGGCCCCATAAACATATAGACCTGTAATATGACAGTAATGTTTTCAATGCAATTCAGCAATCTGCAAAGTGATATGTGAATGTATCTACATTCTTTCTTCCCCACAAAAACCTTATCTTTATTTATTTATCTATTTAAAAGTTTTAGGCTTGACTATGAAAACTATGCTTTAGGTCCTGATAAATCTCAATCCACCATCTCTCTGACCAATCTTGAAGGATTTGCTGTTGCAATCTGTCTACGCTGCTCTCTTTCTCAGGCGAAAACACTGTACATGAAATGAGAACAATGTTTACTCTAGCTGTTACAATAATGTTCAAATACTCCAAAAATAATTTAATGCTTATCCAGAGGGAAACTATTAAAGCTGTGAAGTTTTAATAGTGAAGCTATTAAAGTTGTGGAAAACCACTCTAAGATGTCACGTATCATCTGACACATACAACTTCCAGAAACTGAAGTGCTCGCTCATTTAACGCAGCTATCGTGCTATTTGTATGTAATCGCCCTACTGCACAATGAAAACGTCCTCACCTTCATCTGTTATGAGTGCCCTGAGCTCTCGCAAAAGGTATTTCACAGTCTTAACTTTATGGGCTGTTTCTTCCGGACTTTCTTTTCTAGATTTTAGCACTTCCTTCACAAAACTCGTCTTACAGCTTGTATCTCTCATCGGGGCTATGTCAAGTGCTTTCAATTCATCTTCTTCGCTGGCTGTGTCCTCACTACGGTCTTCAGGACGTGCTTTCAATTCATCTTCTTCGCTGGCTGTGCCCTCACTATGGTCTTCAGGAGTATCCTCCTCCTTGTTACTTGAAGCATTATGTTTTGCAGGACAATGATGACGGTGCTTCTGTTCAGTCCTGCCGTTCATCATTTCATGTGATTGTAACAGGGCCAGGTGAGCTTGTATGCATCTTACCAAATCTGCTTCTTTTATCTGTTGCTCGTGGTTTGGGGTCATCTCTCTGCCAGAAGATGACGAGGTGAATGCAGGCACTGTAGAGT